CAGTCACAAGGACCGCGATTCCAGATAATGGCCGCCAGACGGGGCTGAGAAAACACGACGGACTTTTCAGACCTCGCTCGCTCATCCCACCCCCCTCTGCCCTTGCCCCCCTCGCGGTTCACACACCTGGACTACCCCTTTCTATTTTTTTCTTTCTTTTTTTTTTAGAAAGAAGGAACAATTTGCTTTCAGAGAGAAGAAACCCTGTAAATATTTATATTATATAACCTGTGCTTTTTAGGACAAAGTGATGGTGAAATAATTTGTACGTTTTTTAATAAGGTTCGGGCACGTGATTTTTAAAGCAAGCGGTTGACATTTTAATTCGTTGCTCCCCACCCAGCCGAGGGCTCTGTCCTTTCGCCCGTGCCACACCCGACGCACCCTGTTGTATAGTTTTTTTTTATCTAAATGATGCCGAGGGGATCTCGGGGACGGGACAATTTTGCTGAATTTTTGGGCGGCTCACGGGAAGGAAAATCCACCCAGCCCAGCCTGGCCGTAGACACAACGCGCCTTTTCTCTGGCACGCCTCACCCCCTCTCTCTCGCGCACGCTCTCCCCTCCCCCTCGGCACTGGCCGTCCGGCAGCGCGGCGTTTCAGGCAGATGTAAACGTCTGGGAGAGTGTGTGGGACTACACCCACTGAGTGAATCCGAATCCAGGGCATAATTGCTTCTGTTGGAAAGCTGGTGTTATGCTCCGCGCAACACGGCAAGTTCAGGGAGAGGTTGGATCGCGGCGTTCAGAAATTGGGCCACGGAGGTGAATCTGCTTCCTGTGGTTGGAGGGGTAACAGGGGATTCGACGTGCTGGGTGCTGGGGAAAGATGTGGTGTGAAAGAGTGTGCTGTCTCCGTTGTTGTCAGGTTCTGGAGAACTGGGCCAAGGTAAATCCTGAACAGTGTGTGGTCTGCAACGCACAGCAGTCTGTGCCATAAATGGACAGTAGTAAGTGCCTATGTGATATTCAACTTCCAGAAGACACTGGGCAGAGTTCCACACGTGAGGCTTTGTTCCTCTACCTCGCAGCTGGATGAGGTGCACTGGGAGGTGAGGAGGGCACGAGAAGCTCGTTTCACTGCTTACTGGGCCTGAAGTTGCAGGTAGCATTGCGGCGGTGGGTGGGGGACAGGGGGCCCTGGGCTCAGATAAACAACAGAGCCCACCTGGCAGGCAGAGTGTATTTCGTCGAGGGAGGGTGGCAAGACCAGGTTGCGTTCCATGCAGCGAGTCTCAGAGCGAGGCCGCAGTGTTCGGGGTGCTGGTGGTTGGAGCATCATCAGGATAGCGTTGCTAGCACGAGAGGCGTGGTCGACGAGTGGCCAGCTGCATATTCCAGGCCGTCCGCTGCTCTGGGAGCTGCCAAAAAGAGGAGGTGGTGTCGCATTTTCCCCTCACGGAGCCAATTCCTGCAGGAAGGAGGGATGACAGCTGTGGTATACACTCCCCCAGTCAAGGCCACGATGGCTAAACAAAAGGGGGTAATCATATTTTTCGAAGAGATGATAGAGACCCAAACCATCAGGAAAAGGCAGACAGATATGTGGGCAAATTTTGGAAAGATGCGAGAGAGTAATAATTGGGGATTTCAACCCGTCCCCCCAGTATTAACTGGGATGGAGAAAATGGTTCAGACGTAGAGGGGGCAGAATTCTTAAAATGTTCTGAGGAGAGTTTTTTTTAGAAAAAGACAGCTGGGACTGGTCCTAATTTTGGGGAGAGTCCAGGTAAAATGCTGGCAAGTGGGGACTAGATTAATTTAGGATACATGGTTGGCACAGGCAAGTTGGACCGAAGGGTCTGTTTCCATGCTGTACGTCTCTGGCTCTGTAAACGTTAGATGAGGCAGCGGTGATAACTCCGGGAGTGGTGGGAAAGGCCGGAGAATGGCCAGGAGAAAAGGTTTTGAATTGTTAAGAGGGGAGAGGCTGGTTTGAGAATGTTGAGATAGAATCTGCTCCAAGTGAACTGGGAACAGCTCCTTACAGGAAAATGTACACCAGGGCAGGAGGAGTCTCTCTGAAAGGAAATTGTGAAAGCATGAGGCTGAGGTGTTCCTCCACAGCAGAAGGATGGGATCAACAAGCCTAGAAAACCCTGGGTGCCAAGAAAAGATGATTAAGGGAAGCCCATAAAAAATACTGAGGCCTCAGCAGTGAAGGAACCTCTGAGGTGTGTAGAAAATGCAGAGGTTCCCAAAGGAATTGGAGCTAAGAGGGAGGGTAGGTATTTTAAAAACTGGTGGGTAAACAAAGGAAAGTAAGTTTTATAAAGTACGGTCGGGGCAGGAGGATAACCAGGGAAAGAGCAAGGCTGATTAGATGACCTAGGTAACACAATGTGTGGGAGATTGCGGAGTACTTGGAAGAGAATGGTAAAACAGGGCTGAGTCAGCGCAGCTTTGTCCAGGGATGGCCGTGCTGGATAAATCTGAGAGAATTCTCTGAGGAGGTAACGAGTGAGTTAGACAAAAGGAGAGCCGGTGGACGCAATCTATTTGGATTTCCAGAAGGCCTTTGACAAGGTGCCGTGCGGGAGGCTGCTCAGTAAGGTGTTGGGGGCAAGGTACTGGCATGGATAGAGGATTGGCTGGCTGGCAGAGAGTGGGGAGAAAGAGCTTTTTATTTTCAGGTTGGCAGCCAGTAGCTCGTGGAGTTCCACAGGGGGTCAATGTTGGGACCACTCGTATTCACATTAAGTCATTGAATCATACGGTATAGAAGAGGTCTTGTGGGTCTGTACCACCAGAAATAGCAGTCCCATTTTTCCACCCAAGGCCCATAGCCTTGAATTTTATGACAATTCACGTACTCACCCAAGTATTTTTTAAAAGGTTATGACGCTTCCCATCTCAGCTACCCTCCCAAGTAGTTTGTTCCAGATTCCCACTTCCATCAGGGTGACAACTCCTTCAATCCCCTCTCAGCCTCCTGCCTTTTGCTTTAAAACCCTGCTGTAGACCCTTCGACTGAGGGGAACAGCTCCTTCCTGTCTTACCCCATTCATGCCCCTCATAATCTTATCCATCTTAATCAAGCTTCCTCCCCACCCCCAGCCACACCTTCTCTGCTATGAAGAAAACATCCCGAGCTTATCCAGGATACTTTCTCCGAGCTTATCCAGCCTCTCTTTGTAGCTAAACTGCTCCATCCCAGGCAACATCCTGGGTGTATCTCTTCTGGTAACAATCAGATCCTTCCTATAGTGTAGTGACCAGAACTACACAGCTCCAACATCACCACCTTACTCTCGTAATCTATGTCTCGACTGATAAAGACAAGCATCCTGTTCGCCACCTTAACTACCCTACTCCCCTCTAGGGATATATGTACATTAACGATCTGGATGAAGGAACTGAGGGCATTGTTGCTAAGTTTGCACATGACAGAAAGGTTGAGGGAGTGGGGAGTCTGCAGAAGGACTTGGAGAGGCCAGGAGAGTGGGCAAAGAAATGGCAGATGGAATACAGTGTGGGAAAGTGAGAGGTTATGGACTTTGGTAGGAAGTATAGAGGTGTGGACTGTTTTCTAAATGGGGAAAGGCTTTGGAAGCACAAAGGGACTTGAGAGTCCTAGTTTGGGATTCTCTTAAGGCTAACATGTAGGCTCAGTTGGTGGTTAGGAAGGGCAAGATGTTAGCATTCATTTCGAGAGGGCTAGAACACAAGAGCAGGGATGTACTGCTGAGGCTGTGTAAGGCTCTGGTCAGACTGCACTTGGAATATCGTGAGCAGTTCCGAGCCCCGTATCTGAGGAAGGATGTGCCGGCTTTGGAGTGGGTCCACAGGAGGTTTATGAGAACTATCCCGGGGATGAAGGGCTTGTCGTATGAGGAGTGGTTGAGGACTCTGGGTCTGTACTCCGTGGAGTTCAGGTGGATGAGAGGGAACCTGTTTGAAACTTAAAGATTGCCGAGAGACCTATACTGAGTGGACGTGGAGAAAGTGTTTCCAGACTAGGACCCGAGGTACAGCCTCAGAGCGGAGGAGGAATTTCTTCAGCTGAAGGGTGCTGAATCTGTAGACCACATTGCTGCAGTGAGCTGTGGAGGCCAAGTCATTGAGTGTATTTAAGACAGAGATAAGTTTTTGCTTGGTCAAAGAGACCTAAGGTTATGGGCAAAAGGCAGGAGAATCACGTAAAACATATTAGCCATGATCTAATGGTGCAATAGACTCAAAATGGACTGATGGCCGAATTCTGCTTCTATGGCTTACACTCTCATAGGGAGTCAGAAGATGTAGGTCAAGTTTTAAATGAGGACTTTGTGTCTGTATTCACTACTGACAAGAGTGAAATATGATACGATATGCTTGAACCTATTACAAGTGAGACAGAGGAGGTGTTAGCCTGTTTAAAATTGGAGAAATTCCCGGGGCCAGGATGAGATGTAGCCCAGGCTGTTCTTGGAGTCGAGGGAGGATAACGCAGGGGACCCTGACATGAGAGAGGTTGACGAGGATTGGAGGACAGCGAATGTGGTACCGTTATTGGAGAAGGCTGGCTCAGTGAGTCCAGCGTTGGGGGGATGGGGGTGGGGAAGGATGGGAATATATTAATGTTGGTATGGCTTTGTTGGAGAAAATCATGTCCTCCCGAGGAGGTGATGAAGTGTCGGAATGAGGGTAGTGCAGTGGATCTTCAGTCGGGCCATTGCCATGGTCTTGCAGGCTGGTTAGGTATGGTCTCTGGGATCCAGGGTAATCTGGTGAGGTGGATCCCAAACGGGCTGAGAGGGTGACAGCCAAAGACTTTTTATTTTTTTGTTTTGTGTGACTGCAAGCTGGTGTTCAGTGACGGACGTTACTAATCTGAAAACAAACTTAGGAGGTGTGATGGGTAAGTTCTCAGCTGATGTGAAAATTGTTGGGGCGCTAAATAGCGAAGCAGAAACCTGAAGACTATGAGCTGGTATGGACGGACTGAACACTGGCCAGTAGAACTTTATCGTGAAAAATGGGAGAACCTGAAGGATGGCAGGACCCTGGAAAGTAGAGAGGAACCCTGTGTGAACGGCTATAGATCCTTGAAGGCAGTGGGACGGCTGGTCAGGGAGAGATATGGGATACTGGTCTTTCCTGGTTAAGCCAGGAGCAGGGAGGTGTGGGTGGAGCTGTGTGTGATGTTAGTTAGGCCGAAGCAGGGAGCACTGTGTGCTGGTCCAGTCTCCCCTCTGTAGGAAGGACGCAATTGCAGTGGAGACAAGATTCCCCAGGGTGGGGCCGGAGAAATTCGGCTAAAAAGAGGGGCTCAGTTATTTCCCTCCTAGAGTGGGGAAGGCTAAGGGTTGGGGGGGGGACCCTGATTGAGGGTGTACAATGCTCTGAGGCAGAGGCAGGGCATTTGGAACAAGCCTGAATTGAGGGGGGTTCAATGACTTGGGGTGGGTGGGACACAGTCTGAAGGGGCCGAGCGGGAGGTTCAGAGGGGATTTGGGGAAGAAATCTTTGAGAGGAAGCTGGAACCAAAGAAGACTCCGCCATCAACATGTTGAAGAAGTAACTTGATGATCACTAAAAATGCCATCGCATACAGAGTCCAGGACAAGTGCTAGAAAATGGGGTGAAAGTAGATAAGTTGTCAAACAGGGAGACCTTGGGGTGCAGGTTCGTAGGTCCCTGAAAGTGGAGTCACAAATAGCCAGGGCAGTGAAGGTGGTGTTTGGGACGCTCGGTCAGTGAAATGAGTATAGACGTTGGGAAGGTCATGTTGCGGCTGTACAGAACATTTTTGGAATACTGCGTTCAATTCTAGCCTCCCTGCTAATAGAAAGGATATTGTTAAACTTGAGAAGGTGCAGAAAAGATTTAAGAGGGTGTTCACAGGGTTGAAGAGTTTGAGCCCGAGGGAGAGGCCGAATAGGCTGGGGCTATTTTCCCTGGAGCGTTGGAGGCTGAGGGGGTGACCTTAATGAGGGGCATGGATAGGGTGAATAGCTAAGGCCTTTTTCCCCCAGGGTAGGGGAGTCCAAAACTAGAGAGGCATAGGTTTAAAGTGAGAGGGGAAAGATTTAAAAGGGACCTAAGGGGCAGCTTTTTCACTCAAACCAGATATCCTAAATTAATCCAGTCCCATTTGCCAGCATTTGGCCTCATATCCTTCTAAATCCTTCCTATTCCTGTCCCCATCCAGATGCCTTTTAAATGTTATAATTGTACCAGCCTCCAACACTTCCTCTGGCAGCTCATTCTGGAGTGAGACCACATTTGTTGGAGTGGTGTGTGCAATTCTGGTCACCACACTACAGGAAAGGTGTGAATGTTTTAGAGGGGTTGGGGGGCAGAAGAGGGTTTACCAGGATGTCGCCTGGATTGGAATGGATTTGTTAGGAGGAGAAACAGTTGGACAAACTTGGACTGTTTTTGCTCGAGCGTTGAGGGTGAGGGGCAACCTGATAGAAGTCTATAAAA